CAGGAATGGGGACATGTGTGTTTAGCAACATTTCAGCAGCAGCATTCTTGCAGATGTGTAACAAATCACTACATACAAAACAGTAACACTGCCAGAACAGTTATGGGTAACAAATAAGTAAATCCTGGCTTCTATCTTAATTTACCAATTCAACACCAATACTGCAGACAAAAGGGTAAATCGATATCAGATAAAATTCCAAGGAATTGAGTTACATTAAGAATTAATCAAGATGACGAGGAACCCAGTGGCTTCACCAGCAAAACATGTCAGCCTTTGCCAGAAGGAAACCACCTGCTGCTATTGAGAAATCAGTTTGAAAACGTCAGCCACTTTCAAGACAAATTTGGTTTTATTTTTAAGTCACTGGAAGTTAACTGGCTAACACACAGCTAGTATTCAGATTTTCCTTTGCATAATTGCTTAAAATGAGCCAAAGACAAAAAACAAAACACAATCAAAAATTATTGGAGAACACCATTAAGAGGCAGCAACATACTACACGAACACTGCTAACATCTGTGCTGGAATCAGTGGCTACAGCAGATCAACCCCCCGTTTTGGGTTCTCAGCTTCAGTTTTTTGAGTCCAGGCTAAGAAATGTTTGCAAGGGAACTGAAAGGAAGTCTTCGTATTTCTAAATCCAAGGTTAAAAAAAAATTACAATACCAACTCTATCAATCTTTACAGCTTTCCCTCAGTTTTATAAAAAAAATATAGTATTTCACACATCCATAAATATACTGCAGACGCTAAAACATACCCCTACAGTTCTGCTTCAGTAACATCCTCATCAGGGCAACAATAGTATTCCACAAAACAGATCTGTCCATCTTCATTCCTAATCATATACTGCAGTGAAAGAAATCCCTGAGCATCTGTTCGAACGGACACTTTACAAGATAAAGCCAATGCCTTTGTAGATGGTTTAAGCAAAGAAATCTTGTACCTGCAGGGGAAAAAAGAAAGTCATCTGAAAAAGATGCATTATGCAGAGAGAAGCTGAAACACTACTCCCAATTAAAGTAACACAATAATTAAAAAACAATTAGCAACCTGCTAATTTATCTTTTCCAGGTAACAACATTGGACAGACATTGTTATTGCTTAGCTTTTGACCACAGACATAGGTTTTTATCAGATAGGAAGTATTTTTTGTCTTCCTGTACTAGTGAAATAAATGTTGCAGTAATACAAAACCATTTTTTTTTTTTGAGTTTCTAGCAAGAACACATATCTGCCACAGAGGGCACTGATCACAGACTCACTAACCTGTTTGTCTGAGTCTGGTTACAGCGGAATGCTTCCATCAAATCAGAGTCCCTAGGGTAGTCCAGATGTGCACTTCCTGCATTTCCAAACGTGGATAACCTGGAAAACAAATGGCACCCACTCAAAACACCTGATCACTGCTCCCTTAAAACTCGTCAGAATCAGTCATCTTGTGTATCTCCACGGCTGTTTCACAAAACACTACTGTTTGTTTTGCTTTATTTAATTAAAAACGCTAAACTGTCTGCATCAGTGTCACATTTACCAGGTTGTCAATACATTCATCACTATGTTAAATAGATTACATACTATGTTTTGCTATACTCATTCCAATTGTTCTTGAAATAAAGCAATATTCTACAATAGCTCCCCCCTCCTTCATCCTGAAAACTTCAGTCCTTTCCAGTGGACGCCAAGCATGAACATTTGTGTTGAAAGCATAGTTTCCAGTACCTGAAGTAGGGTTTATCTGGAGACATGGTAATCTGCAGAACTTCACTGGTCATATCCAGTTCAGCAAACGCTTCTCGTAGCCCCTCTGACTGCAGGATAATTTTATTAACAACCTTTGTACTGCAGAAATCAAAGTCTAACAACTCCTCAGGTTCCTGAGTGTTAATTTTGCACACAGTCACTACTCCTCCTTCTTCCAAGAACAGCATCAAGGGGTAACCATAACCACGATAACACATCCTAAGAGCCGTTGATGTTCCTGAAAAAGAGAATGAAATACGTATTTTTCAGAGAGCTAGCTACCACATCTGATCACTTTAGAAAATTCACGTTTTACTGGCATATGGGGCACAGATCAATTTGATCTAGCATGTTTGGTCCAGCCTGCAATACACTGATGTAGCATGCTTTGTGGAGCCTCTGAGACACCCTATGAAGTGCTAGTGCCTATGCAGCAAAATGAAATGATTTGTATGTAGACACCAACTCAAATTCAACTTCTGTCATGTACCAAACAGGAAACACTAGCTGTGACAATGAAGCTGGATATGCTGCAAGTAGTTTAGCGGAACCAGAAAATCCTCTACCGTCTTGAGGCTCTCTCTGGCTCACACCATCTTTCTTTACTACCCCTGTTACTTGTGTAACTCAAACTGAATTTCATGTAGCTTAGCCTGCGTTACGGTCACATCCTCCTTTTGCTAGGTGATCATAACCTGAACGTTCGGTTTCACAAAATCAGAGTGCCGTTTAGTGCAGTTGATTTAGGTGTTTAGGTCAGAGTCACAACAGAAACAAATGGAATATGGAGTTCAACACATAGCTGCAGTGGCAGAACTGCCCAGAAAAACTGACGTTTTCACTCTTACCCCCCGTGAGTACACAGTACATCCTGTAGCACTCAAACAGTCATGCTAACTTGTAGTTCTCTTTGCTTGTGAAATGTTTTTTGAACAACCATCAAGTAAAAAAATAAATAACTGTACAGGAAATAAAACTTGCTAAGACAGTTTTTTTTTTTTAAACAAATGGGTTCATGTAATTCAGTATTTGTACACATAATTGTGAAGGCAGCTTCCCACGCACCTCTGTCACTGGAAATACTGCAAACAGGACCAACAATACAGCCTATTTGATTTTTGCGATTCACACACTTGATAAACAAGACCTAAAGTGCTCTTACAGCACCTGAAGTGCTACCCAATCCAGCCGCAGGTGGTCTTGTGAGACCTTAGGTAAATACCATTCCTCAGTACCTTATCTGCAAGCTGGAGATAATATTCACAAAACAGACGCAAGCATAGCTTGAAGAATGGAAGGAACCTAAGCTGCCACATAACAGCTTCTGCACTGGGAGCAGAAGCAGTGAACCGATGGTGCTACCTGGTACCCCTGCGGACTTCTTCAAGCCCAGTAAATCCGTACCAGAACATTTCCCAATTCATGCATATGCTCGTTAATGTTTCTGAGGCAGCTGGATGTTCCAGGGTTGCACAAGCCACAAAAATATTGGAAAAGAGAGCACATTTATTATTGAGTTCATACAAAATTTTTTGTTAGCAAGACAAATTCCAAGCTATGCCTATACTGTCTCTGAGTGTGCTGATTTCTGCCACAGCTCACTGCAGTAAGTCAGCCTGAGTCCCTTGTAAGACCACTGTGGATCCCCTGCAGCCTTAAGATGTACCAACAGCTTTCATGCTTTTTCAGCTCAAAGTGACAGCTCTGGTAAGAGGCTGGTGCAGCCTGCCGAAGCAGTAGTCTTATAGCCTGATGTTGAGGCTACGTGCAGCCTGACCTGCTGGCCACCTAAAACCATGAGGCGGTGTGAAACACCATCCCTAGCAGAGGGAACCTTGGCATTCTCTGCATCCATCCTGACTACCCTGAATGGGCTCCAGAGGAACTATTCTGCCAGCTGTGCCCAGGTCTTCCCCTTAAGCAAGGGGCACCTGGGAACAAATTAGCGTTTGTGTGATGTGGACAATTCGGGCCCTGGACTGAAAACAGATCAACGTGAAAGGCAGTCACGACATATGTCAGTCCTAGGGTACAGCACTGGTCTCAGAGTCCGAACTCCAGCTTAAACATCACACAACTTTCCAGAAATTCCTGAATAAATTACTTGAAATGTTTTCTTATCAAGATTTCAGAAACTACTTGAGATCTTCAGCCCAAAAACAGAGCAAGGGTACAAGCTGGGGCTGTTCATTGGACCTCATGCCACAAAAGGGTTCTCTCCCAAAACAAGTGGTTCTTCTGTGCCTTACACAGATCCAGGAAACATCACCTTCACAGGAAAAGTCCACTGTCTCTCAGCTACCTCAAGACTGTCACAGAGACACATGCCTTTATTCCACCTTCCAAACTGAATTGGCCTCTTTTAGCCTCTCCTGCTGCAGCGGTCCCTGACACACTGGCTAGGCTCACATCCACCAGCTCCTTTCTTCTCTCCGTTGACTTTTATCACAGCACACATTCGTATCAGCTTAAGTAAACAGGGAGGATCCTGCTTAACAGCGATAGCTGCCATGCTCAGAAGGACTTCAGGTGAGGACGACAGAAGTTTTGCGAAGACTGGACACCTCCCTATAGCTATGTACAGGTTTGTGATTGTGATTACATGATACACATACACTGTCAAGGTAAATACGCACCATACCTGGCAAAGAATTGGCACCAAAAATGGTCAAGCAGTCAAGAAGAACTGACAAATTGATCCGGAATGTCACCGATTCCTCCTGAACAGCAAATTCTTGAAAAATTTCTGCCTGTACGAGATGAACAGAGGCAAGTTTCGGCAATTATTTTAGTTTACACTTGTTTCCTTAAATTCAGCACTTTCACTTTCATAAATCAGTGCAATACAACATGATTTCTAAATGTAACGCAATATTGATGCAGGAAAAATGGGTCTTCATCCTCAAAACCAGTAAAATAAATCAGGTCACAGTTGAAACAAAGTAGCATGGCACAGGCATGAAAACCTAAACACTTGTCTTTTAAAAGTTAAAAACAAGCTACAAGTGTTAAAGCCTAAAGCTGCCTACTTACAGAGCTGGAAACATTGAGGGAACTTTACAATGTAAGTGTCATCCTCCTCCAAAAACAACACTTACTTACTTATCTTCACTCAGAACATGAAAAAAACATCTCATATAACAAAAATATGTAAGAACAAATCAGAATAGTGACTTTACCACACTGAAACATGTGCTGAAACACGCCTTTGACTAGTCTGATGGGGGTAAACTACTCCAGGATACCCCAATTGCCACTGGGCACTAGCGACTTTGTGGTAACTGCAGAAACAGAATGCCTCCAAAACAAAGCAGGAGGATGTGAGCCTTCTTTGAAAACTTTGAAAACAGCTACATACTTTTATTGGCAGCCCAGTGGGCAAACCCCACCCTGGGGTGCATCAGGCACAGCATCACCAGCCGGGCAAAAGAGGGGATCACCCCGCTGCAGTCAGCGTTGGTGCAGCCTCACCTCGAGTGCTGTGGGCAGTTCTGGCCCCCTCGTTTAAGAAGGATGAGGAGGTC